AGAAATCCCTGCCGGGTGTCGACACTGCCCTCTTGGGCAAGAGCTCCTGCGCAAGAGGGCTTACCCCTGATAAAAGAGAGTGTAACTCTTGTGCAAGGAGCCCTCTCTTACCACGCCGTACTGTAAATTTCCTTGCGCAAGAGCGGGCGGGCAGTGTGGACGCTCTGCAGATTCTTGCGCAAGAACGGCCGTACTTGCGCAAGAAGCCACGAGTGTAGACATAGCCTTATTGTTGTGTGCTTTTGGTTTTAAAGGGCAGCAATGTTACATTATCCACCTTCAAAACTTTCTTCTCTGCCAGATGCCTACTAAAAAACTTGACAACAGTTATTCTGCTGGTGTAATAAGCTATCATGCTCAGTCAGTAACATTTCAAGTTTTCTTTGTACTTTGCCATTGATTGTTCTGTTTCCATCTGCCATCTTTGCCTTATAGTGAGCATACGTCTGCACTATAGCAGCACAGATACAGAGCTGCAGCCGTGCCACTATAGTGCTGTAGCATAGACACTTCCTACATTGATGGAAGAGGTTTTCTGTCAATGTAGTTAATCCATCAGTAGTTAGGTCAACTGAAGACTTCTACATTGGGATTAGGTCAACCTCACTATGATGCTCAGGCAAAAAACAGGACTGTGTAGCACTTTAAAGACTAACAAGATGGTTTATTAGATGATGAGCTTTCGTGGGCCAGACCCACTTCCTCAGATCAAATAGTGGAAGAAAATTGTCACAACCATATATACCAAAGGATACAATTTAAAAAAATGAACACATATGAAAAGGACAAATCAAATTTCAGAACAGAAGGGGTATGGGGGGGGGGGAAGGGGAGGTAAATGTCTGTGAGCTAATGATATTAGAGGTGATAATTGGGGAAGCTATCTTTGTAATGGGTATGATAATTAGCGTCTTTATTCAAATTTGAGTGTAAAGTGTGGAATTTAAGCATGAATGATATTTCAGAGGATTCTCTTTGAAGTGAAGTCTTAAAAGGTCTTTGAAGCAGGATGCAGGTAATCAAGTCCTGTTTTCTCTTTGTGATCTTGTCTGATATCTGTTTTGTGGGCATTAATCCTTTGGCGAAGTGTCTGAGATGTTTGTCCAATGTACATAGCAGACGGACACTTTCGGCACATGATAGCATAGATTATATTTCTGGATGCGCAGGAATATGTGTTCTTGATCTTATAACTCACTTGGTTAGGTCCAATAATGGTATCAGCAGAATGAATATGTGGACAAAGCTGGCAACGGGGTTTGTTGCAAGGGAAGGTACCAGGGTTGGTATTAGTGTGGTATGTCCTGTGGTGGTTGGTAAGAATCATCTTGTGGTTAGGTGGTTGTCTATAGGAGACTATGGGTCTGTCTCCCAGAGCCTCTTTGAGTATGGTATCCTGTTCCAATATAGGCTGTAGTTTATTGATAATGTGTTGGACAGGTTTAAGTTGGGGGTTGTAGGTGATGACAAGTGGTGTTCTATTGTTGGTTTTCTTGGGTCTGTCTTGAAGTAGATGGTTTCTAAGTATTTGTCTGGCTCTTTCAATTTGCTTTTTTATTTCTCTGGGTGGGTAGTTGAGGTTTATAAATGCTTGGTAGAGATCCTGAAGTTTCTGGTCTCTGTCAGTGGGATTAGAGCAGATGCGTTTGTATTGAAGGGCTTGGCTATAGATGATGGATCGTATGGTGTGTTCTGGATGGGAGCTGGAAGCGTGTAAGTAACTGTATGAGTCAGTGGGTTTTCTGTAGAGTGGTGTCTAATTTTCCATTGCTGATTTGTACTGTCATGTCCAGGAAATGGATCTCTTGTGTAGAATGGTCCAGGCTGAGATTGATGGTGGGGTATAGGTGGTTAAAATCTCTGTGGAATGTCTCCAGTGTTTCTTGGCCATGTGTCCAGATCATAAAGATGTCATCGATGTAGAGAAGGGTTAAAAGGGGACAGGAGTTGAGGAAACGTTGTTCTATGTCAGCCATAAAGATATTAGCATACTGTGGGGCCATGCGTGTACCCATGGCTGTGCCGCTGATCTGGAGGTATAAGTTGTTCTTAAACTGGAAATAATTGTGGGTGAGGACAAAGTTACATAGGTCTGCTATCATATTGGCAGTGGTGTCCTCTGGGATAGTGTTTCTAATTGCATAAAATTTTTCACAGCCCTGAACAACATAGCTAGGTCAATCTGAAAAACATATTCAGATCCATTATAGAGCACTTGCCTTATTTCCCTGAAAAAGCAAGCCAACACAAAGGAAAGAAAAAAGGGAATTCTGATCTCTCACACATGTAAATCAGGAGTAATTCTACTGAAGTCAGTGGAGTTACACTGGTGTAAAACTTGTGTAAATTATATCAGAACTAGACTCTAGATCTGAGTTTGTTTCTGGCAATTAGTATTGGAGGTCTACTACATTTGATAGACACATTAGATAAGTACTCTTCAGGTCACCCCATTGCCCGATGACAATACCAATTACCCCAATGTGTAACTCCTTAATCCCCTTCTCCAATCACTGTTCCTGCATCACCCAAATTGTCAATTTGTCTCTTGATAGGGCTTACCCCCCACTACAGTCAAAGCTAGTAAATGTACCCAATTAGTCATGCTCTGCACCTAGCCAGCCAGAGAAGCAGAGCTGAGACATAATAAATAGACTGAAGGATGCCAATTGGGTGGGGAAGGAGACTTTCTTAGGGTATATCTGCATTGTGCATTCCATTTGGCTCTACATATATACACTAAATGCTTTCTCTAGCATGTGATAAATAGTGATGTAGCTTGAGAGACACTGCTTAGGTGAGTACAGACATTGCAGATCCCTGTGGATATGTAACCAATTATACCCTACTCTACCTGTCCAAGCAGTGCCTTCTCATCTATCCTGCTGTGTTTATCAGTGTAGTATCTTACAGCTGCATCCCTGCTTCTAGAGCCTGCCCCTGCCACAATGAAAGATTGGACACTGGGGAAACGTTCTGGCAAGAGGCATGCAGTGGGGAAAAGCTCCAGTAGCTCCCCACAGCTACACACCACTAAATGGATGGCCTACTTTTCACTGCATTGTGCAGCTACATATATATACCATACATGATGCTGCTAGTGGTGTGTAGTATAGACGTAGCCTTTGAAAATAAAACTACATTCTAAAACAGGGGTGGCAAAAGCCACCCAGCAGGCCAGATCTGGCCTGCATAGGGCTTTCATCTGGCCCACGTGGCTGTTCCAGGCCCTCTAGTGTGTTGCCTGTGAGCCGGAGCCCTTTCAACTGCTTCTATTTAAAGGGCTTTCACCCTGTGTGGTCTTCGCTCAAAAATTATTGCCCACTCATGGTCTCAAAGATCTATCTCATCATTGGGAAGATTTCTGAAATTCAGGGTAAAATTTTCCTTCTGAATTTCTTCCCATTATCTTCCTTTATATCACCCTAAATCATTAATTTCCATGCTGACCCAATCAATCCTTAGAATCATGTTCTAATCCAAGCCAAATAAATCTACGTATATTAAAGTCACAGTCTGGCTCAGAAGCATCTCCTTGAACTTGTTCAAATCAGTAGTAAAAACAATAAGCATGGAGATTTGCTGAGCAAAAGTGAAAGCTCCAGTAAATGTTTGATGGTGTTTCATTGATGATGGAAAGAAGATAAGAGTAAATGCTCAGGCAGCTAATGCCAGTATTACTATGTCTGGATTTTTAACAGTGCAATTAAAAATTAGAAGAAAACAAATTATAATGGAACGTTATAGCCAGTGATAAAATCACTGACCTGCAAATCAAGCAAAATGCTGAAGTAAGCATGTGAGAAAGCTCAGTCTCCAATGTCCTAGAGTTCACTGTTACAAAAATGGAAAGACATTTTCAAAACCAGTGCAGCAATGATGGAGATGTTCAGCTATTGTGAAGAAAAAATATATTAAAAGTGCTTTTGGTAGATTATTCAATGTTTGTTTAATGCATGCTTTACATCCCTCTGTTGTTTACCAGCTGTTACTTACTATGGGGAATGATAGCTTTACATGAGATTCCTAAAACTAGGAGTATAAACGTTTGTCTTTTTTACTCAGTTCTCTGTACTGGTGCATGTATATGAAGAAGTAAGCTCTTTGAAAGAAAAGTTATAAATCTGTGATACTGCTGACCAGTAGTTAGTTTGAGAATAATGGACTTTCCCTCTGTGGGATTTGTTTTCACCATTTGGAATCAGGGTTATTAAATTTATTCAATAATTTCTGTCAGTTTCAAAAAAATTATCACATGCATACAAATGAAATGCAGCCAGAACAGATCATGAAAAATACAATCCAAGATTTTTGACAGGACAAAAGGACTGTATGTGGAATCCTTTCTGAATCCTTCTCATTTGCTTTTCTCTGCATATTTTTTGCCTGAAGTGCGCAATATAACTTAAAAATATAAAAAGTAACAGGTGTCACTAGGCATACAAACTAAGCTGCTGTATATTTAAATTGGATTTATAATTATTTTAACAAATTAGTAGTGGATTTGCTTGAGGAGAGCACCTTAGGAATCACTGGCAGTTCTATTGATATATAACTATTTGTAAAGACACTGTACACTAGTAGTTACTTAGTAGGTATGTGTTTTATTTAGGAATATCTTTACTATCTAAAAAGTGTTGTGGAGTCATTTACATGCTTTGCAAAGTGAGTGTAAAGTTGGCAGAAAAGGCAACAATTCTACTCTGGTTACAATGTATACACAGATTGACTTCACATGGTGCAAGGCAGTGGAGGAAAATCAGGTTCGCTGCCTTAAATTTGATAACTATTCGTCTGTTGTATTACTCCAATCCTGTATCAGAGGACATCGGTAGCTTTGCCAGTGACGAGACGACAAAAATCAATCCCTCCATAATCCTTGGAGTAAAAACCCTGTTTCTCTCTTAGGAGAGTGGTAGTGGAATATAAACAAATACAATTCTACCCTCGCATAGAATCAGAGATATTTTATTTCTCTGCTCAGACTACACTCTGTGCCAGCTATTGTTCCCGGGCGTGGGGTAACTGCGTAGGAAGCTAGGATGATACCACAGAGTGAGTACACAACAAAGGTTACGTTTGCCCTGTGTATGCCAAAATGACGAGGAATTGATGAAAAGATTAACATGAATGTTCAGAGCAGCACGCAAAAACCGGGGCTGGTTTGGCTGAGCTACTGCAGCCAGGGTGGATGGGATTCCCGTTACAGATGGAAATAACTCTTCATTTCAAGGTCCCCCTCCCTACTCCCTTTTCCTCCCCGGGCTCTGTGGCCGTGTTACACCTCTCCCGCCTCGGCCGCGGGGAGCCTGTGCTGAGAGCAACATTGCCCAACAGAGAGCGGGGAGTGACCCCAGCCCTTTCCGCGCTTGGGACCGTCTTGCCCGCAGGGCACCGGGCAGTGCTAGGACCCGGCTGAAACCTTCACACCGAGCCTGGGCGGCTGCGGAGTCGCCTTCCCGCAACTCCCCCCGCCGGAGGGAGCCGGAGAGCCCCTGCGGGAAGCCCGCAGGCTGAGGCG